TCACACTTGCACAGTTAACAACTTCATCATTTGATTCTTTAGTACCACCTCCTCTACCATCTATAAATATTTTCTCATGAAGCTTCGTCCGTCGTAGGCCAAAGCATCTGTCCGGGCGAGATCTCGACTTAAGCCCATGCTTTTAAGGGAAAAACCCCTCAAATTTACTGTTTCATCAAGGAAAACAATTTAAACAGCAAATTAACTCGCTGGACATCTCGGATCTGAAAAAATGAAATTAACTGATTTTCTTTATTTTTAATCTAAAGAGTGTCAAAAAGGATTAGTAACGATAAAGATAAACAAGTCATTAATGTTATGTTTACGTTTTAAGTCAATTATTAATCTTTATAATTAGTTATTAAGGAAAATAAACAAATAAGGACAAGTGTCCGGTTGTTGTCTTTGAGTGTATTTGAAACACCCTTGTATTAAGTGCTTGAGAAAACGAGAACTTCACAAATTGATTAATTTTCATATTTTTAATTGGTAAAATTGTTTACTTGTTAGTCCGTGCGAAAAAACCGTTTTATCCTTACGGGATAAATAAATATGAATTTGTTGTAGTCCCAATGTACAATTGTTTACATATACATAATGTTTCACTATTAACTTTTTAATTACTTTTATCAGCTTATTCTTAATTATATAATTGCTCAATTAATTTTACACAATTTTTTCTAAATGAAAAATTTGTGTCAGGCGGGATTCGAACCCACGACTTTCCTGGAGTTTCACGTTGTATCATACGTGACAGATTCTTCTTCTTCATCACTGAGTCTGTGGATGAGTTCGATAGTTTTTATGGGATGTTTTCGTAGATTCGTTCCTGTCGGCTGGATCATCAGTTCTCTACGTTGTTTCTAATGTGAAGAAATTAGTTAGCCAGTTTGGGTGAAAGATTTTGGATAATTTGGTTCCCATACGACTTGGTAGATGCTTGTCTTTTTTTTATTACTTCAATTCCAGGGAACTGGAAATGCTCTTTCACCATAATAAGAAGAACTTGGTTGTTATTGGCTTGGTTAGAAGTTATTTATGCATTCTTCGTTATAATTTATCATTCTACTAGTTTTGTGTTGATTTGTTAGACAGAACAAATCGAAAATCGCACATAAAAGGCCCATAGGTCTTCTAAATAATAATATTATGTGGGAGGTTAATGGGCCGACAAACAGCTGAGGCCAACGCCGGTCTTCTGCACGTTTTCCTTATTTTTCTTGTCTTTTGCGTACCTTGTCTTGAACTGCATCTGCTTACAGATTCTCAGTTATAATATGTATGTTACGTCGATATTCTAAAGTGCTAGTTTCTCATTTAAACCTCAGGTTGTCAATTACAGGAATCATCACTCGACAAAAACATAGAAGTCTGGCCACATTCACGCCCCAGAGTACTCGATATTAACAGGGACGGGGCTGACCCACTCCATTCTCGCTAATAAATTACTTCTAATTCCCAGATGTCACAGACTCACCCCAACGTACTCGACATTCCTCGGGGCGGCATGTCTTCTAATCATCTGATTTTGCGTTAAGCAAACATAATTGTCTAAATTTAATTTTAACAGCTAGCTTTTTTTAAAATTATTTTTAATTGACATCCATACCAACATTTGACGATCATTAATTTTGCAATTACGCTAAAGTGTTTGGGCTTGTCACCAGCATGATAAATTTTTTTAAATATTATAATTATTTACCTTCACCGATGTTTTTCATTTTTTCCCTTTATATGTTATTAAATATTTTACTTTGTAAAGCGACGAGTTATAAAATTGAGAGGTCTGTATCTTTAGTTCTCAAGGATGTTCATTTTCGAAATGTTAAAAAACTACAAAGGTCTTGCTTATCTAAGTGCACGGCAAAAGTGCCAACAAAAGAAACTTTAACATGAGGAAAATTTACAAGGTTGGAACAAGGTTTTTATAATAAACCAGGAGAAACAAAATCAATAAGGGCATACTTGTAATATATTTAATTATAAATATTTTTATTAAATATATTTATATACTACACTATAAAATGTATGACTAAATTATATTCAATTTTGCAGACAAACCGATATGTGTAATAAAGATATAAAAAACAATCGGAACAATTCATTAACTCCAATAGGTCATCTCAGAGATTTCGGATATCTTTTAATATCATTAGATAGAGAGAAAAAAATATATAACCAGCGAATATTGACCTTGATTTTTTCAAACATTGAAAAATCTCCTTACAATTTCATAACTAGATTAATTTGGCGTGTAACAGGTCTATAATTTGATTGATCGTCAATTCCCTCCCAAACAAATCATTAGTTGCGCTGGTGATCTGTTCATTGTTTTCGATCAATTGCCATTGTGATCCACAATCCATCGTGGTTGACAGAAGATTGTGGAATTACGTGCATACCATAGTTGACACACTTGTCAATTTTTCATCATGATGTTTCAAAACGTGATAGAATCGTTGTCCTGTACATTATTGACTTGAGACATTTTTGAACACACCTTTTCGTTAACGGTCCAAGAGTGCTGTGTGAATCACCAGCTTTGAAAAACAAGAAAAGTTCTTTATCGTCAAAATGTTTTATCTTTCTAATAAACAATCAGAACTAGTCACACACGAAAAGAATGACTACCTTCAACTTGAAACGATTGACTCTTTTAGATTTTTCGTTGATGGGTCATTTTGTTCTTAGGGATGATGGTTAAATATGTTTCTAAAACGAACAGAAAATCGAAACTTATATATGATGTACCATGTGCCACATTTCTTACCAACCCGAGTGGCACAATCGGCCTAGTACTTATGCCCTTTTCAGGCAATAATCGCATCTCACAATCAGTAGAACTTCATCGATTACGATATTGCCCCTGCGCAAGGTGCTCTGGACGTTTCTTTGACCTCGAGAAGACGTATGACACCATCTGGAGATAGGCGATGCTGCGGAAATGCTAAGAAATCGATCTCAAAGGTAAAATGCCGCGAATCATTCGCGGTTTTTAAAAAACAGGAGATTCCGAGTCAGCATGGGAAACGTGCAATCCGGGGATTACGTTCAAAAGAACTGTATCCCCTCAGGGATCGGTGCTGAGTATCATGCTGTTTCTGTTGAACGGGATCGCAAACTCCTTCCACCCACAGATCAAAAAAATGTCGCCGACGACCTCTATTTTTACCTTTCTGGTTAGGATCTGGCAGAAATCGGTGGGTTGATGCAATCAACTGTGACAGCTTTACCTAACCAGTTTTACCTTCTTCTCGTCAAAGACCGTGCGAGTCTACTTCTGCAGACTGTAGAGGGTCCATAACATCAACTCTTCTTAAGGAGACACGCTGTGCGGTACACAGAGTGCGATTCCTCGGCCTCATATTCGATGAAAACTTGCGGTGGTACATCGAAAGCAGTCCAAGTTCGTTGCAGGAAACAATCCGATTTCTAAAGTAGGTCACTTCAAGTGGGGAGTTGACAGGGAGACCCTACTAAAACTGCTCGAAGCTTTGCTCTGCTCAAGAGTGTTCTATGGGTGTTTGGCCTACCGAAACACGCGTCCCTTGCGGCTCGACAACTTCTACTATCAGGGACTTCGAGTTGTGTTGGACGCGTTTAGAACCAGCCTCTGCTGCGAGTTGGGAGTGCTGCCGCCCGAATTCCGGAGAAAGCAGCTTACTTTCCGCTATGCGCCGGGTTTCTTGGTCATCCTTGATCCTGAAAAACAATCATAATATACGAGAGGTTTTGAACTAGAATGGTGAGCTATGACTATCCCTTCTATACGGACTCCCTGCTCGGATTCGACTATTCGTGACAGATTCTCGGTAGACCCTCTCGTCGTTCTCTTATTAGAGAGACATGCTGAGTTGGATCGTCTCGGACAGTAGTGGTCGTCTGACGGGGAAAGTGCAGACGAAGCGGCGAAAGCTGGTACTTCCAGACAGAACCACCGCGGTCCGGACCTGTTGAGCTGTTCGAGCAATAAAGGACGCGATAAAGTAACATGGGCAAGAGCTTCTCGGACGATCCCGCCGAGGATCTACAATTAAGGATCGTGCTCACCCGTTTGAGAATAGGCCATACCCGATTGACACACGGACACCTGCTTTCAGGGGAAATCCCTCTCAGATGTCCCTCTTGTAGAGAAAAGTTGCTCAGGTGTTACTTGGTCGAGGAGTGCTGAGCCTTGGCCCATTACAGGGAGCGTGTAAGCATGATCCTCGACCGACAGCTACAGTGTGTACGTACATATTTGTTTCTTTGAGTATATGTAGTAGTTTGTGCGAATGAATGAGCGGATCCGCGACAATAAAAATAAATAAATTAATTAAAAACTTATGCCCTTAAGTGTAATTATACTGAAAGATTTACCAATGTGAATCAACTTATATTTCAACACTGAATTAGAATGAAGTCATGTTTATTGAAGAAATCTTTGTCGCGTACTGGACATGATGAGTTATACAGATATGCGAGCTAGATTTTCACTATCGTTTTGGATTTCAACTGAAAGCAGTTTTTTTTATGAACACATGTTAAACTAGGTAGCGGTTATAAATAGGACTGTTTTTTTAATTTATCTCATAGTTGTAGTGTTAGTGAAAAAGATAATTCCGATGACGAAGGAGATCATGGACTAGAAACACTGACGTTTCGTACGATACTTGTAGAACCATAAGACAACAAAAAACGCTAAAGGAGTAGAAGATTTGTCTTCTCCAATTAAACAAAAAAAAATGCCTCCCTGACCTTTCATACGTCAGGATTTAATAGCAACTAATATTTTATCTCCATTAAAATGTCACAACTGATTAAAAAAACTGTATTAGATGGTCGTGATAAAACCCCCGAGAGTAATTTCCTCGCAGGGCGTACTGATAGACATTTTTGTTGAAACCTGATGAAAAATTCGCACTGCTGAAAAACGGCATAGTGCTAATCTCGCGTGGAACGACGGCAGCGTGAAGTGCGGTCGGTGAGAGAACGAGTTGAGGTCATCGGAGGGGCGATATCGACTTTGCTTCACAGTCAGTCGGTTCAGTCCCCAGCGAAATGTCGTCGAGGGAGGAGGTCTATCAGCCGAACCCGGCCCTAAGTCAGTCATCCTTCGTTCCCACCCTCGACCTGTACAAGTCGAAGTACAGAGAGTCGCTGGACGAGCCGGAGAAGTTCTGGAGCGAAGTTTACAAGCAGTTCCACTGGGAGACACCGTACAAAAATTTCTGCTCGTACAACTTCAACAAGAACGCCGGCCCCATCTCGATCAAATGGCTCGAGGGAGCGTCCACGAATTTATGCTACAACCTCCTGGACCGAAACATCAAACGTGGCCATGGTGACAAAATCGCTTATTACTGGTAAGAGCAGTTTTCAAAATCGATTTATTCCATTTTACAAATTTGTACGACTATCGTTCCAAATGCATGCTAAAACCGGATAATTCGCTCGCCGTCGAGCAAAGGTTGCCACTTTTCGGCGGAGTGAACCGTCGGACTCGGTGAAATATTTAAACGCTGGCGGTAAAAAACATCGAGGAAGCAGACTCAAATTGACTGTATTGACCTCTACGTTGACCAGTGAATGTTTTAATTTGAGATATATTTACATCAAAGTTCCACATCATCTTTGGGTCCGCCTCGTCTCCCTGGTTACCAGATCAAAAGAGCGTTTCACCCATCTTCAGAAAATCTTTGTAGAAACCGCGAGCGTAGGCGAACTCAAACATGAAGAAGAATGAAAAGCTCCATGAAATGTTTTCTTACAATGTAGAATGGTAAACATAAAAATACAAAAAAAGTGTCAAAAATTATGATCGGGTTTTTCAATTGAAAATTGTAAACACAAAAATCCCCATTTTTTATTAATTTGATGCACGTTTAGAAATATGATCAGAAAAAAAGATGAGAATTGTTCCAATTAAAACGTACAAAATAATATTGTTTTTTTCGTCTTTGATAATATTTACATTAGATCTATGCATATATAATTAGAAAAACGCAGAATTGAACACAAATTTCCAAATTATCTTTCTTAAAAATTTATCGTTTTAGTCAAAAATTTTCAAATTGTCCCTTTTTCGGTTGATAGTATCTTCTATTTTGCATATTTCTTTAAAGGTTGAAGAGCGCTAAGCATGAATTCTTCCGATTCTTCTTATGATTTGTCCATTTAGAGGACAAAACATGCATAAAGTCCATAAAAATGTTTGATTTGACAATCAAGCCTGCCCTTTTGTAAATTAAAAATTCGAAAAAGTGTGTTCGAAATTCTGCCAAAAGACGGGGGTTATTTCTATAATTAAATATAGCAGTTTGCTGGTGGATCGGTGATAAAATAATATGATTGGCAAATTTCATATTTTGATCTCGACAAAAAATTAAGAACACTTCCGCCATTTTGTGACAAATTCGGTTTAATGACTGATTATAGTTTTGAACCTAATTTTGTTTATAAATAGTTCTAAATTTTAGAATCATAATTCTTAACATTTTTTATTATGAAGTATTGGAAGCAGTAGATAAAAAATAAAGTACGATGTAGGTCGATGATACGTCTATCTTTGTCTGGCTGTGCTTTGATTGAGCAAGAAATTTGAATAGTTTCATAATATGAAATATATATACAGAGGGCTTATTTTGGCACTAGCTTCATGTCGTATACGTGAGTTTTTTGGTTGAAATTTTTAGATTAAATGGGGGGGGGGATAAAATTGCCTGAATCCGGCGTTAGATTTCTTTATTGGAAACCCGATTTAAAATTTCAAACTTTTCGAGGTTCAAAATCCAAGTGTTTATGTTTTTTTCTTTATCTCCATTACAAAATACAAATTTAATGAGTGTTTTGAATGAAGTATACATTTTCTTCCTAATAAATTCCAACTAACTTTATTCGCACAAGGGAGCATTCTTGGTCCCACTCATTTACACTGATATTCTGTACAACTCCATCATTTCCCAGCTAGGATCTACCGGAATCCTACACCCAAAAACACCTTAAGTTGACTGGAGGAAAAATTACTGTTTATTTAAATTGAGAAAAAAAAATCTTGCCTCCTCTGTATATCAACAACAAAAAACCCAATATTTTGGACTATAACAGTGAGCTGATTGGAATCCTTCAAGACTCAAGTGTCAACAATTTAACAATCCTGGATAAATATGAAGATTTTTAAGACCGAAATTTGTTTTGACTCTATTCAAGACAATTAATGTTTTGGTTGAGATAAAAAAAGTCAGTGTCACAAGCTTGATTCGAACCCACGACCTTCGGGTAAATGCGGGTATTTAGCCGAAGGTCGTAGGTTCGAATTCCGCTTGTGACACTGACTTTTTTATCTCAACCAAAACCTTAATTAATTGAAAAGAATTTATTTGGTCAAGCGGACCACGAAACCTAATAAATCTTTGAAGACATTACTGCGACCACTCTGGAAATACGGATTATGTTGGGTTCCGCTAGGTCATCTACTATCCAGCCATCCCAATTTTTTTCCTTAGACAAATTGTCTCAAAACTCATATCAACAATGACTTCAACATTCCTTTTGTCAACGAACTGATTCGACTCCTTTTCCAAACGTTTCACACCAAGCTTTCCTGATCCTATTGCCGAAACCCTTTATACACTTTCCCAACCCGAAAACATGCCAAATTGCCTTAAACGACGATTACCTCGGGACCTCCTCGCCCCCAAATCCCTCGAGTTAATTGCCAGCGTTGGATGATTTTTCTTTGAACATAACCTCTGAGTGACATAGTGCCAGTGTTGGATCGGGAGAAAAACCATACATATTTATAATTCACTAATTTCGTGGTCCGCTTGACCAATTAAATCAATCGAAAAAATGGCAAAAAGGGGGGAAAATTCGAAAGGTGGGTTGAGATAGGAAGTTGATGTCCGAGTGGATCGAGGTCACGATAGCTCAAGTGGTAGAGCAGCGGCGTATCTAGCCGAAGATCGTGGGTTCGAATCCCGCTCGTGCCATTAACTTTTTTTCATCTCAACTAAAAACCTTAATTAATTGTAATGATTTAATTGGTCAAGCGGACCACGAAATTACTGAATTTAAAGAATTAATGTGAAGTACACTTCACTAAAGCTCTCCGTGGCCATTTCAATTGTCGAGAATCCAAACCGATTACACGACATTTGAAAAATGGCAAAAAGGAGGGAAAACTCATAAGGTGGGGTTGAGATAGGAAGTTGATGTCCGAGTGGATCGAGGTCACGATAGCTCAAGTGGTAGAGCAGCGGCGTATCTAGCTGAACATCGTGGGTTCGAATCCCGCTCGTGCCATTAACTTTTTTTCATCTCAACTAAAGACCTTAATTAATCATATTTATAATATATATTTTTATATGTACCGGCTATAAACTATTTTTGAAAAAAAAAAAGGCTGATTCTTGTATCATAAGAATCACCTACAATAAATCACAAAAAAAAAAAAAAAATACAATAACGAAAAAGTGGACAAGAAACGATTAAAAACTTTCTTAAACTCTTCTTAAACTAATCTGTTGATGATGTAATAAAAAATAATTTTGCTCCATGGTTTTCGATCTAGAGTAAAAATATTTGTTGACCTTTCAGAACCGTTTTTATTTTCACGGTGATGAGATAATGCTTGGATTGAGGTGGTCATCACTGATTTAGTCCGAAACGAAAATAATTAAACATTTTGAAAGCGTGATGTTTATTAGTTGGCTATATTGTGTTTCAAAACCATCCAGAATAATATTATTAAAATATGATTAAAACGGTAGTTTAGTAAAAGTTTGACTTGGTGTACTTATAAAATCCGCATTTAAACAGCACTGGGCTTTTTAAAATAGTACATGCTACATAAAGTATAAAATTATAAAAATATACGTATATTTATAAAGGGTAAATTGGGTCGAGGCGAGAATATTTAACGAAAGTTCCTCTTTGTGGTTCACCAACTTTGAATGCACACGGTTGCTGGTCGATCGTGATGAATGGAGACGTTTTGACAGGTATTTATAAATTTTAAGCCCACACATTTCATTCGTTGGTTTGAAATGAAAACGGCCTTTTCCCGTAATTAAATCCCTAAATTTAATATTGGAATCAATTTTCTAAAATTTGCCATCGAAGAGCAAATGTTTGGTTAGCAATGCCGACGCTTAGACTGAGCAATCTTACCAATTGTCTATTTGCGCAAAAATGTTTTTAAATTTTGCTGATTTTTGAATAGCTAACATATAAATAATTTTCTTTCTCAGGCGCGATATTCATGTCAGTATTTTTACTTGTAAATTTGAGTGTAAAGACTAATCTATTGAGTGGTAAACTAAAGGTTATTAATTAATCCATTTATGTTTAGTGTCTGATTGACCATATTAATTATTTCAAGTAATTATTCTTTTTATGTATAGTCTTGGTTGAGATGAAAAAGTTAGTGTCACGAGCGGGATTCGAACCCACGACCTTCGGCAAAATAAGCCGCTGCTCTACTCACTTGAGCTGTCGTGACTTCGATCCAGCCGAAGGTCGTGGGTTCGAATCCCGCTCGTGACACTAACTTTTTCATCTCAACCAAGACCTTACATAAAAAGAACTTCTTACATAAGAAGAATTAAAGGTTTAATCTTTTTTCTAAGCCCTAATGCCAGTATATTTGTTCTATTGATTATCTTACGAAAGACAGAATAATTATAATTCTGTTTACATTAGATCCATTGTTATTGAGATAGTTTTAATTGCAATTCAAGCAAAAGCTGGTTTGTTTCTTACTTTCTTAAGAAACTGGTTACTGATTTATAAGAGGACAAATAAAGGGGTTGTTTAATCCCACCCCGAGGAATATCGAGTACTCTGGGGTGAGTGTGTGACTTCTGGAGAGTGAAAGTATTATTAGCGAGAATGGTATGGGTTCGACCCCGCCACTAGGCATATCACTGGGCAAGTGAATGAGACCAGACTTCTGTTTGTATATGGTAGTTATTATGTACTGTATATTTTCTGTCTAATCTGTAGTTGACAACCCGAGGTAAAGTGAGAACCTAGTATTTTAAAATATCGACTTAGTTTTCATACAATAGCGTTAAAGAACTCACTGAAAGTAACGTTCAAATGGTTGCAGATTGAAAAATACGCGTGAAAGACCAGGAAAAAAGTTAAAACAACTAGAGGGCCGGCCATGACCTCAGTTGTTAGTCGGCCCCTAAAATTCCCACATTATATAAACTCAAATCTGCACACGCGTGTCGATCTCAAACCTCCAAATAATCATCAAGTAACGGTCACTAAACACCAAACACTGTATACAATAAAACAACCATGTTCCCTCCAAAAATCAGAACAGTAGATCAATATATTCGAACGAATTGCTGCATCC